TTTTCTAAAAGAGATATGACGTAAAATAGCTGAGTGATCATAACTGCTTACAATATTCTGAAAGTACTGGTATTAGCAGGAAAAAAAACACAGAATACAATTAATGAAGTTTTTATTCGAATAAATATTTGATCAACATAGAACAAAAAAAGGATTTTGAATTCGTTTCAATTCTCGACACTCTTTTTAGGTTCTGTATCATGCACGAAACCCTATTTAAGTACAGTATTGCACCATTTTCTCCAGTATAATAATCATAGCTGCTTAAAATGTAATCTATTGGTTTTGAATGTGTATTTTTAAACTTTTCTTTAAACTTTCGTTTATTTAAAACTTCACGGTCACGGTCACATCACTTCAATATAATGTTTTTGGGACTTTATCAGCCGAACATACGGTATTTAAAGACTTGTACACGATTAAATGACAGTAATTTTCAACATGGAAATTATATTAGAAAACACTATACCGTATTCTAATATAATATAAGGCTCTATATGACGGTGGTATCCATGCCATATTGACATCGGATCAGTAAACTGTCTGAAATCTATATTTAGATACTATGTACTGCTACACAGTAGATTGCTCTTGTTGAGCCATATTTACAGCTATCTACTTCACTACGTTTCGATGTTTCTCAAGACTTCTTTATGGAAATCATAGTTCTGTTAACAGTTTGTGTAACTAAAATGTTCTTCATTTTTGTTCACCTGAAGTTCTCATTAAAAGTTCTTTGAGTAGTTTTATATATCGATTGATAACTTTTGATTGGCTTTATTCGATGCTAATATGTACGACCGTAGATAATATCCCTTTGTCACACTGCATGATGATGAATGTTAGTTCAACTATAAAGCTAAAAACAAGAAGTGTGCTCTTTATAATACATGTTATATATCGATTGTTTTCAATGACTAAATATTACATGTGTTGTCAATGTTCTTATTAAGTCTTCGCACCTTAAAAGATCTTTTTCAGCTTCGATCTCAACCTTTCCTTATCTCTGACTAGAACTAAAATTCTTTTCATTGCTAGCGTCAATAAAGTTTTGATAGTTCCTTCTTTTGTAAACGGTTTTCGCATGTGTTTTAAGATGTTGAGAAGTGAATGTAATGAACATAGATGATGATGACAGGCATTATATCCACAGATTGTAGTTAGAATTGGACAGACAGGTTAAAAATAAAATACAATGCTTATATATATAGAGGGTGAGCCATATATATCTTTGCAATGAAAAATATGAATACTTTCACTCTGCTCTAAAATATTGATTTGATCTTTTTATCAATGATAGAAGAGTGTTCAAAGGCTTTTTTTCATAAGAAACTCGGCAACGAATACTGCTTTTAATTGTCGACATTCACTTGAATACTTATTGTAACTTTTCATAAGTTCGACCAAAAAGAAACACAGACTAGCAAAAGCGTGTTTTTTATGATTTCAACATCAGAGAGTGTTGGTGTAGCTAAACAGCTGACCTTTACACTGATACCTTATTCTGGACCAAAATGCGCGTGTCAGAGTTTATGCTTGATTTGCTCACCATCTTTACTTGTGAAGTCGATGCTGTCTCAACGTGAAAGTTTGTGACAATAAATAACGTTTTTAGCTCTTATACTAATGACATTATAAAAAGTCAGAAAAAGGTGTGCATCAGAATGTTCCAAAGAACTTCTGAAGATTCAGGAGAAAATTACACAGGTTTCTACAAAGCCGATAGTGACATCGTGTTCTACATGGTCAGAAACCTATATATCCAAGTTTTTAGAAATATCAGTTGGTCTCATCAATCAGGATAACTAAAACTTATATAATCTGTATCGCATTTTCTTATGTATACAGGAAATTTTGTGATGCTTCACAGCGACTATATTTCACTTCAAAAACTTGAATATGAATACAGAGGTTCCCAGCCATGTCGAACACGATAGCGTTATCGGTGCCCCAGAGATCGGTGCTATTTCTCTCTGAATCTCTAGACTGCTGCACTTATTTTTCAAATTTTTAAAAAATGCCACTAAATAAAGCTCAGAAATTTACCTGTTGCCACAAGCTTTCACGTTGAAGCAACATCGATTTCACAAGTCGAGAGGGTGAGCACAATCAAGCATAGATGTTGAAACACGCATTATGATCCAGAATCATCGGTTTATCGTTTAATATGACTTCAGCTGAGTTTTTCTTACTGGGATTCGGATGGAGCTCATAATTTTCAGTAAAATAAACTGTGTTTTTAACGCGATTCACTTAAGATTTCAGCATAAAGCTAACGAAGCCCAGCTAGAGAACCCTAAGGATATCCGCATTGCACTTGATCTACCACGCCAGAACCATAGTTTTATTCATTCTAAATATCATATTAGTCATTATCATACTCGAATTGATATTTTTAGGTATACTGTGATCTAAATGCAAGAAAAAAATTTTCTCGAATTCCTGGAGATATACCAGGTCCCAAAAATAGTGATGTCATTTATCGCGATTTTCATCAATGTAGTACTATCAGAAAGTATCCTTCACTTGATTCTAATACAAAAATCATAGATTCATGTTAGGAAAGGGTAAGGATGAAAAACAGCCTTGTCTGCACTCGTACTGTATGATTATCGTAAATATGTCAAAATGGTGGCTAAAGCTCGTTCAACATTAAAATCACCAATAAGAGGACGAGATTAGTACCTGCTAATGAATTCATAGGAGTATATCGACAATTTTTCAGAACCCTAATTACCTAAGAATAGAAAAAAGTTATCCAACTTTTTAAACATGTTTACTAACAAGACAACTTTTTATTATAGATGCAGCTACAGTACAATATGTTTTGAATGATAGCTTATATGTTATTCTGTAAATATATCTTCAATAACTGATTGCCTGTGGTTTTTATATAAAAATATATAAAAATATGAAAATGTAGTTCGAACACATAAAACACGCTTCAAATGCGTCATACGAGTATGACTCAAAATAAATAAAGCTTGGAATTTTCCAACAGAAAAACAAACTGGAAAAAAAATAACCATACAATGAGTCCCAGGATTTTTTCATATTGTACTAAATCCAACAAGTCTTAAAAATCAACCAGAGGTAAGTTTAATTCTTTGTTTGTATTCGCACTAGCCCAGTTCAATCGTTCTTGATGATCATTGCTTATTTTTACAACAATGAGTCGTGTCATGAAACATGGAGTATAAGCGTGCGTGCGGGTATGAGGTTTCTTTTCACTCGCATCCATACCCAGCCACAAGCGTGTTTCAGGCTAAAGCTGTGCCCATTGACAGCTCTTGGTGTGATTAGTGTGGTGATTTCTGATATATTAGACACTTCTTAAAAGCTATTATATATATATACTTTATTAGTATATTAAGAATAGCACCTATACTGTATTTGTCTCGTTCATTATGTACTATTTCATACCATAGAACGACCTTGAAAGATACAGTAAACACAATAACAGATAAATATGGAGTGTAAGGATAAATTCAGAGGAAAACAAAGGTTCGGTAATAATTATGGATAACCTCATGTACGAGATAAGGACAAACTAATAGTGCACTTCCAAAGCACACATAGAAGAAGAACGAGATGAAAGTAGATAAAAGTATTGATGAATAACAGACCACAAATGGCATTATGGTCATTTCAATCAAGAATGTGCAACAAACTGCACGTTCGGTTGGACTGCTACACTATACCCTCGGATGAAGTTGAAACGTTTTCTTGAGCGTCTGTAAGCGGGGGAGGGGGGAGGGGAAAGCAAAGAAGGAATGAATTGGTAAAGTTATGATGAAAGCACGACTAAGGTGTTGTCGAAGGACCAGTAATTGGCTGAACTTGAAAGTGAACCGACGGTAGTTGTGGACGATGAGAAGAGTGGCAATAACCTAAATTAGTGAGCAGGAGGACAATGAGAATGAGAGAAGTAGCAAATGGAACACCAAATGGGTGTCGGTGTAAGTCTCTCCAGGCAGGCATTGGTAAAGGCGTTGAAGTGTTGAAAATGAAGTTGTAAAAAGCTCGGAATTCATCTGTGATATATGGTAATTTTGACCAGCAAGAGGTATTGGTTTGTGATAGTCGAAATTGAAGTAAATTGGATAGGAATTGTTGAGAATGGTGAAATCCCAAATAGTGATGGGTTGACCAATCACATCTGGAGGGGTCGGGGTGGAAAAATGTTCGCAGATAAGTGTGTTTTTTTAGAGAATGGTTATTAAAGTTGCCGCGAGTAAAGTACACATCTCGTTGTGAATAACGCAAGAAGGATCAGTTGGGACGAATGCAGTTAAATGACATTTTTGAGACGTGTTACTGGATAAAATCCATTGTTGACCAACCTGATGAACCAATAGAGGATCAGGATAAGGTTCAGTATGACATTCTGAGAGGACGATCGTTGTCAAGATTTGATACAGGCAAGTGTCGTTCCAATGGGTAATCATTGGTGGAGTTTCTCGGCAAACCGACATGGCTCAACAATCACATGTTAAGGATTCCGTGTGTGTCCAGGCAATAATGTGCTCGTTGAAGAAGTTGATGCCAATAACAAACAGTATATCGACAAGTCGAAAATGGAAGCCAGACTAGGAGAATAGGATTGGGAGTAGTTGATAGACGTAGAAAGGCGCATGATGTTGTCGAGTTGCAGCAAAAAAGGAAGAGATCGACAAAATGCCGATAGCCGACTCAGATACTTTCAACTCTTTTGTGCGGGGTGGGAAATGTACTGTTTGTCGCACCAGGAGACTGCTGACCAAGTCAACCAGGGATGGATTTGTGGTACCAGTGTGAAAATCAACGTTCGTAGAGGATATGGTAAAATCGGCTACATCGGCTGAATCACAATGATGGATGCAATGAAGATTCAGACAATTGGAAAAAATATCTGAGAGAGAAGTATGCAGAAAGTGAGTTTCGACTGAATGAATAAAGGTAGTAAGTCGATTATTAGAGTATTTGCCGAAGATTGCGAGATTTCCGATGTTAACTTCATAATGATTGACGAGATCAATGGTCTGGTTGAAGGGAGTATGTGCGTGGTTGAGGGTTGAAGCTGGTTTGAGTTGACCAGCTTGAAGATAGAAGAGTTATGTTGTATGTGTATTGTGATGGAGTCTAGTGTTGTTAAAGATTTGGTAATGATGCCGAGGGTGTGGGTGTGATGGGAGTGGGTGTGGGTGGATGTGGGTGCGGGTGTGGGTGTGGGTGGATGTGGGTGCGGGTGCGGGTGTGGGTGTGTGACTGAGGGGATATGGCTGCCGGTTTTACTCTTGCTTTTAACTACACCCACGCCCATGCCTATCCATGCCCACCCAACCCATACTCATACTCATACTCACACCCACACCCACACCCACACCCACACCCACACCCACACCCACACCCCCACCCCCACCCCCCCCCACACCCCCCCCCCCCCCCCCCCCCCCCCCCC